ATCCTAACCCTTCCAGTGACATCTCACATGACTTATCTTGCATAGAATACATCATATCTATGTCATAATCGTGTCCTAATAATATCACTGTGAAGAATATGGGGTGCTGTGTCATGGTTGGGCTGGAAGGGACCATGATGAGAGGTCATCAAGTCCAGCCCCGGCATTGAGGCAGGGCCAGTAAACCTAGACCATCCCTGCAGCTGTTTGTCCAACCTGTTGCCTATACCAGCAAAGGGCTTTAAAGCACCTCACAGCTCATGTGCTCAAGCTGTCCTGACTCTGAGGATTCTAGAGATGATGCAGTTTCTTTAATTGGACGGGGTCTTCGGTTTGTGTCAAGCAGATGCAATGGTGGGTTCAGACTGACGATAGGATGATAAAATACCACAGAGGCAGCTTGTGACAGGTTCGGTCACAGAGACCCCCTTGGGACTGTCACTGATGTGCTGAATTTGCCTCTGAGCCCATTTTCCTTGCCAGCTTGGGACTCCAGAACCCTGCCTGGTTGAGCCAGACATGCTAGCCACCTGTAAACACAGACCCAGGTCTGGTCCACGCCCCCAAAGCTGCAGACTTTAACCAAAAACTGCTCATCTGGTCACCTATCTCCAGGACCCAGACACCCAGTTCCCAATGGGATCCAAACCCCAAATAAATCCGTTTTACTCTGTATAAAGCTTATACAGTGTAAACTCATAAATTGTCCTCCCTCTATAACACTGAGAGAGAGCTGTTTGCTCTCCCAGGTATTAATCACTTACTCTGGGTTGATTGATAAACCAAAGTGATTTTATTAAGTATAAAAAGTAGGATTTAAGTGGTTCCAAGTAATAACAGACAGAACAAAGTTACCAAGCAAAAAAAACAAAACAAAACACGCAAGTCTAAGCCTAATACATTAAGAAACTGAATACAGGTAAATCTCACCCTCAGAGATGTTCCAAGAAGCTTCTTTCACTGACTAGACTCCTTCCTAGTCTGGGCCCAATCAGTGGCGTAGCCAGCTTCTCAGTGCAGGAGGAGCAAACATAAAAAAGGCGCCCCCCCTTGGCTCCTCCTCTGGCCACGCTCCCTTTGGCTCCTCCTCCGGCCACTCCATGCCCCCCCCCCTTGGCTCCTATGGCCATGCTGCGGCCATGCTGTGCCCCCGCTCGGAGGGATTCGGTGTGTGTGGGGGGCCGGGTGCGGGGGCAGGGGTGGCGGGTGGGCGCTGCTCACTTCTCCCTGTGGGGAGCGGAGCAGTGGGGCGGGTAGCAGCTGGCGGGCAGATCCCCTCTCCCCAGCAGCTTCCTGGTTCCCTCGACCTGGGCAGCCCAGCATTTTTTTCAAAAGCGGAGCCCGCCAGGCCTCCGCTGGGCTCCTGCAGGCGGGGGGAGGGGCAGCACGGCCAGACTCCGGAGGAGCCATTTGCGGGGGAGGCGGGCGCGGCCGGAGGAGTGAAGCGGCTGGGCTCCTCAGCCATCGCACCCCACGCTCAGCGTGGCCGCCTCCTGCGGCGGCTCAGGGCTCAGCGGCCGAGCGCTCCACAGCTGGTGGGCAGATCCCCTCTCCCCGGCAGCTTTCTGCTTCCCTCGGCCTGGAAGCAGGAACTGAGGGGAAGCGGCTGCTTCCCCTGAACCCCCCTAGCTACGCTACTGAACCCAGTCCTTTCCCCTGGTACAGCCTTTGTTAGTTCCAGGTAAGGTGGTAACTCGGGGATTTCTCATGACTGGCAGCCCCGTTTGTTCCATTCCACCCCCTTTTATAGCTTTGGCACAAGGCAGGAATCCTTTGTCTCTCTCTGAGTTCCCACCCCTCCCTCTAAATGGAAAAGCACCAGGTTAAAGATGGATTCCAGTTCAGGTGACATGATCACATGTCACTGTGAGACCTCCTTCTTCATTACCTAGTAGCTGGAAGACAGGTACATAGGAAGGCTTGCAGAAAAACAAACCCATTCACAGTTCATTGATTCTGCAGCACCCTTAATGGCTTCCACTTAACATGTTTGCATCAGTAATACAAGTTTATAGCTTATTCTCCTAACTCAAGACAGAGTTAATACATGCAACCAAACAGGATGAACACACTTGGTAGATCATAAGCTTTGTAATGATACCTTACAAGAGATCTTTTGCATGAAGCATATTCCAGTTACATCATAGTCACACTTAGAAACATATTTCCATAAAACATAGGGAGTGCAACGTCACACAGCTGTTTTTCTTAAGTGACTCTTAAAAGCACATCTTGGACCTCTAGATTCCTCCTCACTCAGGATTCTAGAGAGCTGTTGCCGAATAGTCGTGAAAAGACAGCTCTTCAAACCACCGTTGGAAATGGGCGTTGAATTATTTTTTGGCACCAAGCGTGGTCTATGCAGGAGAGATTTAACATGGGAACTTGCATGGGTCCGGCCCTGGAGCTGTCTTGTAACACTGCAGAAGGGGACAGCTTGAGTGGAAGAGGGGCAGTTTGTGAAGGCAAAGAGGAGAGAGGGAGAAGAAAGCTATGGTGAAGAAAAGATAGGAAGGAGAGTCCAGCGCTTAGGCACTAGGCTACGACTTGGTTGAGCTGGGTTCAATTCTGTGCTCTCCTACAGACTTCCTGCGTGATGGTGGGCAAGTCATTTAGATCCAGATCCTCAAAGCTCAACCTCCAGTTGAAATCAGTCAGAGTTAGGATCTGAGCCTTCACCTCTCTGTTCCCCATCTGCGAAATGGGGATAATGGCACTTCCCCACCTCACAGGGGTGAGTGGAGGTACCCCAGTAATGGGGACCATATAAGTGCCTAAGATAGGGAAAGTAAAAGACTGTCTGAGGGAATAGAAAGAGCTTGTTTTGGAGAAAGGGAGGTCCCGGAGGAGAGGAAAATCCCCTCTAGACAGGCCCTTAGCAATCAAGGAAACCTCCTGAAGTGTGAACCCCTTGGAGACTTTGTGGCCCAGCTGACA